TGCACCCCAGGATGCCATTGGCCTTCTTGGCCACCAGGGCACCCTGCTGGCTCATGGCCACCTTGTCATCCCCCAGGACCCCCAGGTCCCTCTCCCAGAGCTGCTTCCCAGCAGGTCAGCCCCCAGCCTGTCCTGGTGCATGGGGTTCCACCTCCCCAGGGGCAGCACCCAACACTTGGCCCTTGTTGAATTTCATCAGGTTCCTCCCCGCCCAACTCTCCAGCCTGGACGATGCCACCCATGTTTAGTGCGAGCCTCGAAGGTGATGGGAGCTGCGCCGCACAGCCAGCCTGACCTCAGAGCTTCTTAGCAGGATTACCCCCACTGTGGGCACCCTGCCTTCCTCGGCATTAGCCTGTCCTCCCAGTGCCCCTGCATGTCATCACGCACCGCCGGTGCCCAGTGCACCCCAGGAGCAGCTTTACGGCATGGCCCATGCCACAGCTCTGGGAAACCCCCTCTCCACTGACTGCAGAGGACTCCCGGAGCAGAGGGACAACGCGGGGATTACAGTTATGAGATATTTCGGGACACACCTCAACTCCCATGGCCCGGGAGAGACTACTCCCTGTCTCAGTTTCCCTCCCCACTCTCCCAGCCTGAGATCAGTTCCCTTCCCTGCCAGGCACCCCCAACACCGCGAGGGGTGAGAAGGGGGGTCTCCGCTCCCCAGGGAGGCCCCAGCACACAGGGGAGGTTGCGATGCCGGCCCAATTCCCCCCTTCCTCTGGCACCAGGGGACAACAGCCAGCTGTGTCCCAGGGTGCCCCCAGCCCCCAAGCTGCTGCAGTGGACCAAGTCCCACCGCATCAGCCCCAAGGCAGGGCCAAGGTGGTGGGTGCAGGTGAGAGGGGTTGCCTGCATGCCCGTTTTGTAATAGGCATAAGCGGCTCAGCAGATTTACTCCTGAGCTGAGTGTGACCCCAGCTAAGCCACCAGGAAAGGCCTGCCCGGGCACTGCCTGGGGCCAGCCCGGCCGCCCACGCTGCCGCGGTCCAGCCAGACCTCCATCCCAGAGGCTGGGGGCTTGCCCCAAGACCACCCTCCTCTTCCCAAGGGGCCGTATGCACGGTCCGTTTTTGCCACCAGCTTTGAGTCCCCTGGGTGGAAACCACACCGGGGCGGCTCCCCCGCCAGCGGCTCTCAGCCACCAGACCCCCCCCCCCTGCCGCATCCCTCACCCCACGGTTAATCTTGGCCTCCTCTTTAGGAAAGTTAAAGCGGCTCAGAGTGGGGCCAGATGATCACCCAGATTAAAGACTTAATGGCACAACCACAGCCAGCTCAGCATCTCGGCTCCGGGCCGGTGGGTCAGTGTGTCAGTGTGGCAGTGAGTCAGCACGTCACGCACATGCGTGTGGACAACCTCACACGCCAACACACATTCCCTGTGACAGGGAAGACGCTGTGCTGCTGGCAAAAGGAAAATAGGATATCTGGCATCTTTGCGGGATGCCTCCCTGCCCGAACCCCCTTCCCCTGCACCGGCTGGAGAAAGAGCGCCGCTACGGGGAGGGAGCGAGGAGTCTACGAAGACTGCACGTCCCCGCGTGCTTACGTGGCATCCACGCCTGCGACTCTTGGCACGTCGACGGCGGCACGCAAGGTGCCCCGCTGTGTCAGCAGCACGTGCGCTGGGGCTGTGGGAGCACCCAGAAGGCGGAGGCATCCTGCAGGTGCAGTTGGCTTCTCTACACAGGTGGAGATATTTTGGGGAGCGTGGGTGACGGCCACGCTGCCCCTGCAGCCTGGCGGGGATGCCTGCTGATGAAAGCTGCCCTTTGTCCACTTGCAGGGTACAGCACAGGGCCAAGCTGGGAAAGCAAGTGGGTTTGTCCCCAGATAAAACAGCCCCAAACTGAGCTTTGAGCGGGCGCTTGCACAACAAGGACCCAGGCCAGCTATGTGGGATCCCAGAGGGATGAGCAGGGGGCATGGCTTCCCATTCCAGAAGCATCCCACCCCAAATGATGCAGGAAAAATCCCCCCCCACCCCCACCCCCAGCCTGGGCATTGCTAGACTCTGGCTGCTCTGAGGCTGAGATTGGGGTCACTGGGCGGTGTTTAGGGGAGCATGAGAGGGGATTGGGGAGGTCAGTGAGACATGATTATGGTACAATCTCCAGTATTTGCAGTGGGGGCACAGGATTTGGGGGTGGGCTGTGGCTCATCATTTGAGGTCACCCTCCTGGGGCCAGAGTCTGCAGAGCTCCATTCGGGACAGATCCAGCTGGAGAACAGCATCTTCAGGTTGGGCTATGCCCTCCAGCAGTGTCTACCCTGCTGGGAAACAGCTTCTTTGATGCTTACATTACAGGCTACCCCCCTCCAGCCCCCAGTGAGGTGGTACCCCATTCCCAGCAACTGCCCCACCCCTGGGTCCCCCATCCACAGGGAAGAGCCCCCTGCATAGCTCTGCTCATAGAGGGTCGCAACACCCCACGGCACCCAGGGAGCCCCAGAACCACCACAGCTCCCCTCACCCCCAAGGCCGCCCCCGCCTGCCAATGGCTTGCGGCTCCTGTGCTGCTCCAGCCCCAGAACCTGAGGGGTCTGGGCCAGGAGTAGGACCTTCTGGCCAAGCAGGACCATTTCCCCCACCCCCTTCATGCAGGTGGTGCCAGAAGAAAGCAGTCACAGCCTGGATGCTGCATTTCCACCCATTTATTGGGGAAGCCGCACCAAAGTATTAAAATAAATTAAAAGCACAGGCCATGTGGGTGCATTGCATACATGAGTATCAGGAAGGCAGAGTGGATTCTTCAGCAGAGAGGTGGGGAGACAGGATGGAGCACCAGGGAGTCCCAACAGCTGCAGAAAGCTCTACCATGGAAGCAGTAATAGCTACAAAACCAGAGGTACAAAAAAAAATCTGTACCTTTAGTATGGTCTTAAAGGCAAAGTCTGAGTCAGACCTCCTTGGAAGGAGGCACTGGGCTGGAAGAGACCTGACTGGTGGGGCAGGCAGCAGGGAAGAAAAGCACAAAACCCAGGGAAATGAAAGGGGAAATACATAGGACCTGGCCAGGACACAAGACCTTCCTCCACAGCTCCGTGTTCTGCTGGGAGCAGAGGACGGCGTCTAGTCACTGCAGTTTTGGGGTTCTTGACAAAGTCATACCCTTCCATCCTCATCTTCCAGGCCTGTTATTTGTGCCTCATTCCACCTGTCCCCAACAACAGGCACAACTTTTCCGGCAGATTTGTTGCAGCAGGGGAGAAAAGCAGGACTGCCTCTCATCCTCCACTTTCTCACTCTGAGCAAACAGACCCATTCCTGCACCCCACTCTGCTCTCAAGGAGGCCGAGTCCCAAACTGTCACCAGATGCTCTGAATGTGAACAAAGCAGGGCCCCCTCACCCCCCAAGACCACCAGAAATGTGGATCAGCTTGGGACCAGAGGGGTACTGCCACACAGGGCAGGGATGCCCAGAGTCATCGACCACCCACAGCTCAGACTCGGGCAGACTGATGTGGCTTTTGCTCTGTCCCACATGTCCCCAGAGCCCCCTGCCCCAGGTGCTCTCTGCATCACGGCTCCCCCAACCCTAGCTACAGCCACAGGCATCAACAATCATGTCGGGGATGTCAGTCTTGACAATGTTGCTGTTGCGATCGAAGTAGAGGACAGAGAGCGGCCGGCGTCGTGTGGGCACGCAGCAAGAGTGCCCCGATGCCTGGATGTTGTTAGCTTTGACGAGGTTGAAGACCGCTGTGTGGAAAGAAGAGGCCATCCCAGGGCTGCCTGCCACATGTAGAGGGCACTGGCCCACGCAGTAGTTTATCTGGTAGCCCTCGGGCTTGATGATCCAGTCGTTCCAACCAATGTCGCGGAAATCCACGTAGTAGTCCTTGCGGCAGCAGAGGTTGGAGTTCTGGCTGCAGCGGAGGCTGCGCTTGGGCACGTGGTGTCCTGGCTCCCGCACCTTCGCTTCGGCCACCAAGAAGGGCTGGTGGGACCGGCTGGCGTTGACTATTGCCATGATATCACCCCCGTCCCCGCGGCTTTCCAGTTCCAGCCGCAGAGTCCTGTGCTCTCCCCTGAAGAAACTCTGCAGGGCAGGCATGAGGGTGAAGGCACGCCAGCCGCTGCCCTTGGCGCTCCGTCGCCTCTCACTCAGCAGCGTGCGGTTGCCCCCCACCAAATCACCTTCCCCACCAGCGAGGAAGATTCTCAGCGTGAGGCTGGCTACCCAGTCTTGGGGAACGCGAAGGTAGAGCCAAAGCTGAGCCTGCAGGATGTGAACATCCTGGTCTTGTGCACGGCTGAACTGGAACTGCAGCCCCAAGCCAGAGGGAGACGTGGGCTCTGAAGGGAGAAAGGGATGAGGAGGTGAATGCCGCAGGATGCTAGGGAAGGTAAGGCTGCACCGACATCCTGCACATCAAGGCCAGCCTCTTTCAGCTTCTTCTCAGGCAAGACCTACAAACTTCCCACCCTCCCTCCACGGAACCCTCAGTGTGTCCTCCTCCCCTTCCTTGGGAAGGCTACCTGGAGCGTGGTGGTGTTGGAATGGGGGACTGTCCCACCCTACCTGGCAGAATGGGCACAGAGGGGGCACCCGCTCTCCCCCGGCCCTTTCCCTTTGCTGCACAGTGCAAGGGTGGAGACTGTTTCCAGCCCCCCCCCCCCACCCCGAGCTAGTCCTTGCAGCTCCCAAGTCCAACAAGTGGGAGTCCCAAGCACCCTGGGTTGCCCCCATCCTTCAGGAAAGGTTCAGGCATTGCAGCACGTCAGGTGTAGGGTCCCAACTGGCCAAGGCAGGAGCAAAAGAGGGGCCAGCTCTCCTTCTCCCGGGCCGAGCCTTCCCGCATCAGTAGCACCCGGAGGTCACCAGCACACGGCAGGTGCATCAACCGCTGATTTAAACACAGCCCGTACGGCTCCAGGTCCCCCCACCCCACTGCGAGGGGGCAGGCAGCCAGGACCCTGGCCCCAGCTGCACCCCAAGGGTCAGGGGCTGCACATCCTCACGGGTCCCCACCAACCCAGGGCAGGGAGACCCTGCCCCGGGGTCCGGCGCGGCGGGGGCTTGCCCAGGGTCTCCCATAGTCCGGCACCGGGACTCGGGAGCCGCGGGGT